CCCGCCGCCCCCCCCCCGCCCCCTCGCCGCCCCCTCGCCGCCCCCCCGCCGCCCCCTCGCCGCCCCCTCGCCGCCCCCTCGCCGCCCCCTCGCCGCCCCGGCTCGTCCCCCGTTCCGCTGCTGCCCTTGCCCCCTGGCAGCGCCCGGCTCTCTCCTGTCTCTCTCTCTCTGTCCCCTCCCCCGTCCTGGCTGGAGCAGCGGGGGAGGGGAGGAGAAAGAGGGGAGTCCCTTATCGCTCGCCCCGCCCCGCTGGGCTGTGCCTGGGCAGTGCTTCAGCACGCGGCCGGTGTTACACCGTGTTCCAGGCAGTGCGAACGCAGATGGGTGTTCACACACAGACAGTGGAGAGGCAGTGGCAAACCACCCAGCAGTGGTCCTCGCCACGCGTGATCGTACACTGTGTGGAAAACATAAAATGGCAGGGTGACACGCGTTTGGGCGGGGCCACGGCGCCGCCCTTACTCACACAGCTGGTATTGCTCGGGCGAGTGCGGCGGGCGCGTTTGCTGTCCAGGGAGGAGTCCCTGCAGCCGCAGGGGTGCGGGGGCAGAGCCGGAGCACTGTCACGGAGGGCTGCTCGCCCTCGGGCTGTGAGCAGGTGAGGACAGCGGCTGCAGGGACACATGAGGCGCCCAGGCAGGTTGCCAGGTCAACACCGTAGGCCATGACTGTCCTAAACATTCTTTGTAGAGGAAGAAGTGAAGGAAAGTTTACCCGCATACCCTCTTTGAATAGTCATTGAGTCCAGCTTCAGCAGTCAGTGCTTCAAACATTTAAAAACATAAGCAAAGCCTAGAACAAAATCGTTTAAACTACATTTAAATAAATTTATATTTTTTTTTTTGAATACCTCTTGTTTGTTGCATCTTCTGTTTTCAGATAGGCAGTGGGATCATCTTCCATTTTTCTCCACTCTTAGAAAGTGAAATTTAATTACTAGGTAACAATGTATCTTCAGAGGTAGAGATGATGAAAAATGTTCTGAGTGGCAGCATTTTAATTTTGCTTCTGGTCTGAGCCTCATATCTCAAAAAATGCATATATTGAATACCCAAAGCAATGTCGTGAGCATAGGGCTTTGTATAGGTAAGGCCCATACAGCTTCCAGCTATCATATTTCCCTGGGAATAGTGTCTATCCAGTAGCATTAAATTTTGGGGAAAAATTTTTTTTTTTTTTTTTAAAGTGGAAAATATTTTTTTATGGTAAAGAAGTAAAATAGAATTAATGGACCTTTATATATTAGGGCTGAAGCAAAGCACTATAATCCCGTTCATGTGCCCTTGCTACATTTTGCTGCATCATTTCCTCTCAAAAGATCTGAACATTTTAAAAAAGTTTCCTTCAAAATACCACTTGATTGTGTCAGTCTCTCTCTCTCCCCCCCTATCAGATGAAGCATTTGAAAAGGCTTTTGCAATAGAGTGGATTAGCAGTCAAAAACTATCATTAACATCTTCTTAGAAAATAAATTAAAAGAAAAAAGGTTTTCTTTATTGTAATGGATCATTTAACTTAATTTTTGCAGTGCTCTTCTTTCATTTTCATCACCATTTTTCTTCCTCTGAGGATACAGAAAGATATCTTCATCTGTAAACAGCAAACATGAGAAGTAACAGCAAACATCCTCTCTGTGCACATAGATGTGGGTGTGAGCTGCACAGTGCACTAATTAAATCCAGAGTTGGTCACTGTTTGTTTTAACATTTGCTTCTGCATTACCTTGCTGTGATTTTACATGAATCTGTTCAAATTTCCATTTTTCTCACGTGGATTCTTAAACAACCCACAAAGGTTTTCCTTATGTAGGAGTGCATTCCATACCAATCCTTTTCAAGAAAAAAAGTGTTTCTTGTTACTTGATCTAGAAACTATACTGGCTCAAATAATGGTTGTAAAAATGTTTGTTGGTCCTTTTTTTTTATGACCAGTGTATGCAAGATAGTTATGGCAGCAGCACTATAATGACATTTATGAGGGTACACTAAGAAATAAAATAGGAAAGGGAGTTTAGGTGCAAGAGCAGTTTCCCAGAAATAATGCTTTCATGGCTGATAAAAATAAAGAGTTTATTTACTTGCTGGAAATATTTTCAGGAGTTCCTCAGGATTTTTCTTTAACTACCAAGTAAAATGTAAATGTTGCTGCCAGGGCTCTTGTAAAAAAAAAATCATTCTATTTTGTCTAAAAACCCCAAATATATAAAAATTTAGTTATGTACTGTGCTTACTAATTTGTAGTCCTGTCCAGGTTTAACCACTTGAAGCTGTACTGAAGGTGAAATAATGGGTTCTAAAGTGGGTAGTGGGATGTCTTAGTTTTTGTTTTCCCTTTTTTTTTTCTGTTTCATTTAGCCAGCCATTTTTGTGGTATTTTTAGAACAATATTTGTCTTTGAAAGAGAAACTTGCTTGAGTAGTAAAGTTATTAAAAAGGAGAGATGAAAAGTAATAGGTAATTTGGCTAGATGACTAAATAGACAGTAAAGAGAATTTTCTACTACCTATTTGTAGAAGTTACTAATACCTATTTCAGTCTTATTTAGACCAGTCTGTATTGCGTAAAAAAATTACTGAACACCTGACTAGTCAATGAGACACCACATTCCTGTTGCAGTGTGTTCATCTTTCTCCATTTTCTTAATTTCTTAACCGTTTGCTTCAGAACGCTTCTGTAGTGATTCACACAAGGAATACAGCTTCATTTGCTTAGCATTGCCCCAGTGTATATGGTTTTTATTAACAGGCCTGATTAACTGAATATTAAAGGTCTGATTTATTTTTACTAAATAAGAGCTACAGTCATACGAGAATTTGTTAAAGACATGGATTTATATCAGAACTGTAAAATGTGTTTGCATCTATGGAGAAAAGAGGTGGCTGTAGATATTGCAATATTGGGGATATTTCTGCAGCAATCAAGGTCATTACTGATGGTGACTCACAGGATTTGACCAGAGTGTGTAATGTAATGTACTTTATGGTCTGTTTTGTGAAATGCTCAGGCTGAGCAGCAGGGAAGGTGTTTTTCTGCAGCTGGTGTCCTCTGGTTTAGCAGGTACCTTCTTGCTGGAGAAGAGATGGTCTGAGAGTAACTGACATTACTCTCATCCTACAGACTTAATGTTCTATTTTCATGTAGGCTAGAATGGAATTTTCTTGCAATAGGAATATGCTGAGGACACAGCATGGAAGAGCTGGATGGCTAAAGAAGTGTAAAAGACTGGGATGAAATTCAAGGATACAGAATAATTAGGTGCTTTGAGACGTATGAGCCAAACTAGAAACTTTGATTTTATTGTCAGAAGAGATTGAAGAAGAGCTTTGGAAGCCTCACAAATCAAAGGATGACTATGAGCTGCCAATATAGCTGTTAAAAAAAAAATCAAGTTAGGTCCTCAAATAGAGTAGATCAAGTATTTCCAGTCAAACAGGGAGATGTTGATGACATTGCAAAGGAACAGTTATCTGTTCAATTTTGGCTAGTCATGTTCAAGAAATTGAATTCTAGCTAAGGGATAAGTTAGGTTTTGCACCACTGGAATGATTGGGAAAAGGGTGGTGAAATGTAAAATGACTTGGGCTTTTTTGGTATCAAGTGTTAAGACCTGGAGGATGTGCAGGGTGGGAAGAGCTGCTTAAAATAAAGGATAACGTTGCAACCCACAAACACAAACTTATACTCAGTCCATATAATAAATATAAAGTAGAAATTTAAAAGGCAATTATCCATTGGTGGAATTCTTTAGGAGCTTTGTAATCACAGTAATGAGGATATGATTTAGGTTTCCTAAAAGGATTATATGATGTGGTTTCCACAGTAGTGAAAATGATTTGGTTTTTAAGATCTTTTAAAGATTATATAATAAAGAATAGAGGACTAGATATTTAAATGTTTTAAAATAGAGACAATTCCATGTCCAGTTTTTTTAAATTATATTGCATGGCTTACAATACTTTGTTAAGGTCAGATTGTCAACTTTAGCGTGAGTATTCATCTACCACTTTAACCTGGAGAATCCTACTCTGCAAGAGGGTAGTGGTTAAACATAGCTAAATTATAAGCATCTTTTTCTTAAACCCTTGCATTTATGTACTACTACCTAGGTGTACTAATGGGTATAGTAAAATAAGAATGTATTAGGAGTCATATGGATTGATGAGGGCTACCTACACCAACAACAAATAAAAATAAGTCAAAAATAAGACTCTAGTCTCTTATTCTGCTGGATGTAGCTGTGCCTCTTGGAAGTGTAATCTAAGCGATTCTAATGTGTGCTATGTTATGTTGTATGATTTCTGTCACAGAAAGGCTGTCATATGGAATAAAATATCCAGAATCATTATCCAGAATTGTTCAGGATATTACCATTGGAAAGTTCTATAACTGGAGAGGTTATTTAGCAGGTAGCAGAAATGCTAGGTGCTAAATATGTAAAATAATGAGCAAAAACTTGGGTCCTCTAATTTAGACAGGTAACTTCTGTTTCAGAGCCTTGACTGCAATGATTTATATGTTATATGCCTAAATATCCAGACTGAAAATGCACAGACTAAGACTCCCTCATCTCCTCACTGCATGACACTCTTGGATCAAGAGATGCACACAAGTGTCTTACTTTTGGAGTTTTAATTTGCTAGTTTAGATTTTGTAACAGATTGTCATGTTTTAAGCATGTGCTAGAAACCTCTCATTTATTTTTAAACTAACTCAAGAATAACAAAACCCACAGTCCATGTGACAATTATATATGTCTTACTCACTTACGTTTGATTCTTGATTCAAATTACAGCATGAAAAATGAGGCATATGGTATTATGCAGCCTGGGAGGAGACAGCAAATCTCTTTTATTTGAGTCTTTTAGGTACACCTCAGAGGAGCTGATTTGAGACATACTGTATTTCATGTTCTTTTTATCTCCATTTA